TAAAGGACACGGTGTTGCTGGAGGTGTGAGGTGATCGGCTTCAGAGCTCGCCGCTTGGCCAGGGTAATCGGGGACAGATCGCAGAAGAGTTGGAGTCTGTCACCTTTAAATTCCAGAGATGGCTTGTGGCGAACTGCTGATAATAAGGCTTCCTTGCTTTGAAAAAAATGGAAGCGAACAATGACGTCGCGAGGTCTGGTGCCTTCAACAGGTTTTGGGCCCAAGGAGCGATGAGCCCTGTCCATACGCCAATCAGCTTCTGGAACCAAGGGAGCAGTTGCGGTGAAAAAGGATAATAGGTGACGGTGTAGTTGTGCATCATCAATAGATTCGGACATACCGCGTATACGGATATTTTGGCGCCGTTCCCTGTTTTCCAAATCCTCTTGTTGGAGCTGCATTTGGGACATGGAATGTTTCAAATACGCGTTGTCCTCTTCCAGAACATGAACGTATTGCACCAAATCATCAAACTCAGTTTCCAATTTATCCGTGCGGTCACCAATCTGCGCTATTTCCCCTCTGAGATCCAACGTCAGTTTTCCAATTTCAGTGGAAATGGATGCGGTGATATTGCGTAAGAATATTTGCAATTTATCATCTAGCGCTGAAATTGTGAGAGAAGATGATGTGACAGCCTGCTGGGAAATCTGGGTGGAGGGGTGTTGATTGCCTGAGGCAGGATGAACTATTGCCCCCCCAGTTATATTCTGGGGATCAGGATCCTCCATCTGGGGCTGAAGCAGAGCAGAGGCAGTCAGAGGAGCTGTAATGCTTGAGGGTGCAGTACCCTCCGTGACCACCGGGAGTCCGGGATCGTTCCCTGGGTTCCTGGACATGCCAGAGGCCGGGGATTGCGGCCTGGATAGGAACCGCCGAAGCGGTGACGGCCGCGGATCCTGTGGCTGCGGGGAGGGGGGCTTCCAGCGCCCTATCTTCCCCATAAAGGGCTCGTTCTGGTGCCGTGCCGTGCCAGGTGCAGAGGGTGTATGACTCACCCGGAGCTGAAGGAAGGCAGTGGCGCGTGACGGGTGAGTCCGTGCTGGCCGGGTGAGCGGAGCTCAGGGATTACACAGCCGCCATCGTCCCTGGTCGCGCATGCGCCCTCACCCCCTTTGATGTATTTAAAGATTTCAATCATGTCTCCCCTTTCACTTCTTCCCTTCTTCCCTCCAGACTTTACATATTAAGTTCCTGAAGTTGCTCTTGATATGTTTTATCCCCGGGATCTTAAACCATTTTTATTACTCATCTCTTGACTCGTTCTGTCTTATTAATATCTTTTTGTAAGAGAGGTCCCCAGAACTGGACATAGTATTCAAAATGAGGTCTAAGTAAAGGTCTATATAGTGTACAGGATGCCAAGGATGGACCCTGGACAGGTGCTATGTGGCACCAGGATTTGAGTTGTCCCTTTTTAAGGGAAATGTTTTGGGTAGTCCAGGGGGTATCACCCATTATGAATGAGATATTCCAGGATAGCCAAATGAAGCAGAGGACTGACTCGCAATTCTCTCGGCATTAAAAGTAGTTTATTTGGGAAAGAGTATTTTGGAGGTCCAAAGTGACATTCAGGTGGGAAAAGGACCTCACTCCTGACTACTGGGACATGCAGGGTTAAGCAGCCTCCAGGAAACACCTAGTGCTAGAGGGTGGAGTAACAGTTGAGAGAAGACCTAGTTGTGTGCTGCTAACCGACAAACATCTGAAGCTAGAGGTTGCTAACTCTGGAGTAAAGCCCTTATGTGAACTTTACATGTCTGACATTTTGTACTGAAGAAAAGTGGATTTTTGTGTTTTATTTTCTGAAGTTTTGTTGCCAGAAGCTATATTCTGTTTGCCTTAAATAAAAAAATGAAGACTTTTATGTTTGAAATAAACATCTGTGGCACGTGATCCCTAAGGTGCTATACCCTCTGAACTTTATAATAGGAGAATCAGAGCCTCTTCCTACTGCTGATGATCCCTTTAATGATGCATTCTAGAATTATATTTGCTTTCCCCACTGCCTGGTCACACTGCTCATTTTGCAATCATCTGAAATACATAAGTACCCCCAAATACTTTTCCTCTCTAGTACTGGCCAACACTGTACCCCCAATGTTGTATTCTCCCAAGAGTTTATTTTTCCCCAAGTGCAATATTTTACATTTAAAAACATTGAACTGCAGTTTCTACTTATTTGACCAATCTTCCAGCAATGTCAAATCATGTTACAGACATCTCCAGGGATATAAGCCCTATTGCACACCTTTGTATCATCAGCAAAAAGCCATACATTGTCCAACAAATCTTTAGTTTGGGGGTTAGCAGCCTGTAAATTGTGATCTACCAGTAGATCGCGGCCAAGTGACTGGTAGATTGTGGATCCCAGAGCATCAAAGAGAGTGCAATGCAGAGGCACTACTTGTAAAGTTGGAGCTGTAATAGGGAGAAAGAGCTGCATAAGCTGATGCCTCCTCTGAAGTGCTGGCTCCTGTCCCATGTGGAGTGATACCAACTTCACTGCACCTCTCATTCTGGCTAGTGGTCTCCAGAGTGGTGCCAGCAGCAGGAAAGAAAAGATCTTCAAGTCAGTGTGAAGCAATACATTAGACACAATAATACAAGGCTGCTTTTACAATGCTATGCTCCAGTTTACCCACATCATGGGTGCAGTGCAATGTACCTGCAGCTTTGTGATGCTTAGCCATAGAATTCTGTTATATCTTGCGGGTTTTGTGCATCAAAACTTCTGAATGCAAGAGTTTTGGTGTGTTTTCAAAAAACTGCACCACACCCGCAGGATATAATAGAAGACCATAGCAAAGACCATCTAGCCCAGGAAATTTGCAGATGCACAGCTCTGCACCCTTGATGCAGGTAAACTGCAGCACATCAGTGTGAAAGGGGGGGCCTCAGAACAGTAAGGGTTAATTTGCATTTGAAAATTGGAGGGTGATAAATCTCCATAGTTAAGATGTGTTTTTACCACCCCTGCCCCAACCACACCCCCTTTAGCTGCAGAGGCCAGGAGTGTACACATGTTGCAGCCACAACAGGTGTTATATGCCCTTTGTCATGGTTGGTGGGTAAAGCACCTTCCAAGCATGACTCAGTCATGGTTGGTGGGTGTAGCACCTGCCAAGCATTACCCATTCAATGAATAAGGCCACTCTGCAAGTGCAGTACAGCAAACAAGGGGTTAAAGAAGAGTTGTGTTGCTTTCTCACCACCTGCTTTAACTCCTTGGACCTCACAGAAGCATACAGTTGCTGAGCGCTTAGAGTGGCCCTATTTACTTGAATGGGTCATGACTGGCAGGCAGTAGCACCCACCAAAAGCAACAGGGAGTTTAATTCCTGCTGCATCTTGTGTACACCTTTGGCTGCTGCCTGAGCAGCTAAAGGGGCTAGGGATTTGGGGTTGTAAAACCCTGCAGATGAGTCACGGTTTTACATGTGAACGAGCCCTAAGGGTGCCGATGCAGAATGCAAATAAGAGTTTATTCACAAGTGCAGCAGACACAGCTGCTCCTCTGAAAAGCCATCAGAGTGTGTTTGACAGGTGGTGAGGAGGCACTATATTGTCTCCTCACCACCTGATTTAAACCTATGATTTCAGTGCAATGCACACAATTGCAACACCATTGTATGGCAATTAGAGGTTTAAATCAAGTATGAGGAGGCAACACTGTGTCCGGTGATCTTTGACTTCTGCTGTGTTGTTCCGGTAGATCTCCATCTCTTTAAGGTTGCCCACCCCTGCTTTAGTTATATCACTTACATATAGAATAAATAGAACAGGACCTAGTACAGAGCCTTGTGGTACACCACTAGTAACTGGTCTCTTTTCCAAGTAATCCCCATATAGAAATATAGGGGTCTGATAATGAATGGTCTAATATACAAATATATATATATATTAGTTTTTATTGCAGTTCTTTTTTTCTTCTCAGCAAATGTGATTTGAAGTATGTCTGAGACGCAATCCCAGCCGGCTGGAAATACAATAACTTCCTCTTTCAAGTATAAGAAAAGCATCTTATGGTCAAACCAGTTTGAATCAGCAACCGTCTATTTTGAACTGAACATGTGCTAGTAAACTGCACTTAACTCTGAGTTTGCTGTTAAACATATGAAGATTTGATTGGATTAAACCCATATGACCACGCCTGAACTTATGAACCATTACGCCTAGAATTTATGTCTATATATGAAAAATCTAAGCTTAAGAGACAGATATATATAGTGTATTACGTTAGTTCATCTCACATGAGGTGAATTTTTGTATGCTATATTATCTCCACTGCAGTGTAATAAATGCAACTTTTTCATTATCAATTTGGACTCATCATCTCATCTAAAAAGTCTCGCTTGGAGACACTCCAACGTGAAGTTACATAGCCACACTCTGGTATCTATCCTTTAGCCACCTGCATAGCCACTGAACCACCCAAGGGCTAAATCCTAGCTTGTACAACTTTTGTATTATATCATTATGTGGAACGGTTTCAAATGCCTTGCTGAAATCCAGATATGCTATGTCCACAGTACTACCCTGGTCCAAAACATTGGTAATATAGCAAAAAAGTCCAGTGAGATTAGTCTAACATGATCTGTCCTCAGTAAATACATACTGCTTTGGGTCCAGAAAACTGTTTGTTTTTAGGTGATCAATGATCCTTCTTTTCAGGAGTGATTCCATTAACCTCCCTGTCGGTATTCCCGAGTGTAGCTCGGAGTAAAGTTTCAGTACCACAAGCGGTAACCCCGAGCTACACTCGGGAACACCATGCGGCACTGCTCCACGTTCTGTTCTTCACTTACCTTGTCCTGCGCTCCCGCAATGTCCCTCCTGCAGTGTCCCCTGTAATGTCCTCCGGCGGATGCCAGCATCTGTCATCTGGGTTCCGTCCCCTGCGAGTGTCGGGATGTACGGGGGATGAAATGGCAGGAAATTTGAAAATGACAAAAAGTGACATTCACTAAATACACTAAAATCACATAGTAAAACATTACTGTATCAAACCATTTCACATACATTTTGTCCCTAGTGCTTTGTCCTGTGCCCTGCCTGCATTTTTACTGTTCTTTCTGCCTGGAAACTGAGAAACGTCCATGGCGTCCAAAAAGCATCCCTTTAGGTCAAAAGCAGTTTTAGACCAGCTAGGGAACAGCGATAGTAAATCAGAACCACTTGCAGAATTGAGTGATGATTCGTGGGGAAATTCGTCATCAGACACTGAAAACGATTCTGCGACTTTGCACAGCGATGTGCAAACTTGGCGCTCTATTTCAAATCTCAGTGTTTTTGGTTTGATTATATTATTGAATTAAATTTATTATTATTATATTATTATTTTTTATGATTATTAAATTATAATTTTATGATTTTGTGTTTCAAATTTTAACATACCGGGGATGTTTACTAGACTCTTGTTCGGACAGATTTCAGTGAGTTATTCCTAAAAATTACAGGCCTACAATAAAAAAAATACATATTTCCATGTAAAAAAATGTACCGCTTTGAGCACAGGAATATTGACACAATCAGACCGCTAGGGAGGTTAATTTGACTACAACCGATGTTAAATTCACTGGCCTGTAATTGCCAGCTTCTATCTTGCTGCCCTTCTTGTGAATACGTACAATATTACCTGTTTACCAGTCATTGGGAATGTCTCCTGTTAACCATTTCCAGCCCGGACACTTTTACCCCCTTCCTGTCCAGGCCAATTTTCAGCTTTCAGTGCTATCACACTTTGAATAAGAATTGCGCGGTCATGCAACACTGTACCCATATGAATTTTTTAGCATTTTTTTTAGACTGATAAAGCTTTATTTTGGTGGTATTTATTCACCACTGGGATTTCTATTTTTTTTTGCTATGTAAATGAAAAAGTCCAAATATTTTGAAAAAAAGTGTTTTTCTTATATAATTTTGCAAATAAATAGTATTTCATCATAAATCTTGGCCAAAATTTATTCCGTTATCTTTTTAGTAAAAAAAAAATAACCCAAATTAGATATAACCAAAAATTATAACTTTTAAACATTTTTTTATTTTTCTATATTATTATTATTATTTTTTTTTTTACATACTGTCACCCTAACAGTACAGTGTCACCATGGTGACACTGTACTACTTGTGGGAGGTGATGATTTTTTTTATTTTTCTTACACTGATTGCTTTTACATGCATAAAGGCAGTAAAAGCAATGATTTCTCCTCTCTAGCAGCATTCTTGCAGCCATTGAGAACTACTGAGTGAGCTGTGATTGGTCACAGCATGTCACATGGTACAAGGCTGTTGTGAATAGCCTTGTACCATGTGAAGTCTGTGATCATTCACAGATTTCACACGTAGTAAGCAATGATGTCAGAAGTGACATCTTGCTTACTACTCTGCATGTGATCACTGATTGGCCAATCAGTGATCACATGATCGAGACCTCGCACAGAGGTCCCGTCCGACGATCGGTGTTCCACTGTGTCCAGAGGGAGCGCGCACAAGCAGGGTGCTGGGAGGCCGTTTATAAACGGCCACCCGACCCAGCACTGCCACCGTCCGGCCGTTGTATAAAAGAGTGGTTAAAAGAGATTGACTAAAAAGATCTGTTAATGGTCCAACAACTATACCTCAAAGTTCTCTTAGAACTCTGGGATGAATACCATCAGGGCCCATTGCTTTATTAATCTTTAACCACTTTCCCTCCAGGGGATAAGATCACAAAGGTTTATTACAAAAATTAAAACATGACATTAAAACGCATGTATAGTTAACTGTGTAATAGGCCATATCCAAGCTTTTCTCAAACATATATGGTTAATAACTTGTAAATATGTAAAGGATCGACATGTTTCACATGACTTGCTTCCTTAGGATCCACTCTTGTATGTGAAAAGTTGATATGGCTAAACAAACAGACATAAAAAACATAATGTACATAATAAAAACATAATCATACTCATATACTGTAATATACAATACAAACTTGTATTATCTATGCTTTGAATGCGGGTTGCTATTGCTCACCTGCTTCTAAAATTGTATTTGAATGTATTTGTGGAAATCAAAACTTGTTCTCAAAATTTTAGTTGTCGAGTTGCCATACTGATCAATTGGCTTCAGCATTGACATACAATATGCATGTAAAAATAAAAAACACGCGCGGCTGCATGCATGTTCATTGTGTATTCTTAGATCATAAGCTGTGTAGGAAGGAGCAATTTGATTAAAAGCTCTGAAAACTGCAGTTTCTCTCTAATTTAAACTTAATTCTGGTTATAACGCAATCACCCAAAAAATCCCATTCCTAGCTTTTGTACTATTTTAAACTGCTATTTGCTAAACTATCTACTTGGAGCTAACACTGAAATGCAAAAGGTTAGGAATTGCTTTTAATTACTTGTCTTTTTTTTCTGTACAGTCTGCTCTATCTATCACACACCACATAAATATTATGAGCCAAAAACATTTCGCTCTGACTTGCTGACTTATCTATTTTCACAATACTTCTCATTCACTGACTGCAGAGAGCAAGCAACTGCACTTGGGGACAATGACAAAATAATAAATCACTCAGGATTCTAATATGCAGCTAGGAAACAACCCAGTGCTTTGAGATCCACCCCCCCCCCCCCCAAAAAAAAAAAACAAAACAAAAAAAAAAAAAAAAAAAAAAGCTATACCCTGCTTCAAAGCAGTTTTTTAAATTGTTGAGCAGGCAGACAGACAAATGGATGCTATAAACTTCAAGGTGTCATTAAAAGGATATGCATGCATCTATTTCTCATTAAACCTCTGTGTGTATCTAATCAGTTCAGGCAGCTCTTGTGCATCTGACTTATGTGTATTTAACTCACTACATTTTCTCTGTACAAGTGCATGACTCAGCACCTACTACACACTACTAATCACAACCAAATCACTGAAAAGGTGTTTAAGAGGAGTACTTACATCACTTCAAGTCCCTCTGACTTTAAAAACACAAAATCAATTCAATTCAATTTCTCTTGAAAAAGTAGCCTGCTCAGCTTAGGACCGTTTGTATACATAAACAGGCATGACAATAAGAGAACCATAAACTTTAAACTGAAATGTAGAATACCCATCTGTTTTTGGGGTTGTCATGTGTGGAATGTGTCCCTGCTGTCCCATTATACTGCCATTATACTGGGGTTAGGCTGCAGAACAATGCTATTTGTTGTCTTGTAACATTGCACATCACCTGGAACTGTATAAAATGTTTTGACAGTCATTGTCACATCATGATTTGTGCTCCATTCCAGATGTCCTCCATGCCAATTCCCAGCTGCAGGCAAACTCCTTGACCCATCTCTTCACAATGTTAGAAAGCCACAGGCCAAAGGTCTACTGCATGTGCACAGCTTCCTAACAACCTGCTTGGGTCACTTCCTCTAAAATGTTGTATTGCTGAATGTTGAATACTAAATGCAGTGTATCCAACTCCAATGCCTATTGAACTGCAGAGTCAGATGTAAACACCCTGAAAAACTTCTGTAACAAGAGTAGATGTAAAAGTCTGAAAATGGAGGTTGCTTGTACCATGTCCATCAAGGTGTATGTGAAATCCTGTGACCTCAATTGGCCTTTAACCACTTACCCTCCGGAAGGTTTACCCCCCCCCCCCCCCCCCCCTTCCTGAGCAGGCCATTTTTTGTGATACTGCGCTGCCTTAATTTAATTGACAAGTGCGCAGTCATGCAACACTGTACCTAAATTACATTTATGTTCTCTTTTCCCACAAATAGAGCTTTCTTTTGGTGGTATTTGATCACCTATGTGGTTTTTACTTTTGTGTTATAAAAAAAAAATGCCAATTTTGAAAAAAAAAAAAACATTTTTTTATTTTCTACTATAAAACATATCCAATAAAACATTTTTAAAGTCAAATGTCTTCATAAATGTAGGCAAAAATGTATTCTGCTACATAGGAATTTATATTTTCTTTACCATGGTAAGTCATCAGTTATGAATTTCCTGTAGGTTTAAAGCCTAACTATAGTCTCATATTTTTTTCCGTTTTTATACATTTACACTGTATATTTTATTTTTAAAATGTTTTTAAATTATGTTATCTCTCAGTGAAAATGTGGATTCCTGTACTCCTACTTCAGTGCTGTATGCTGGCAAAACTGAGTAGCAGCCTCACAAAAGTCTTCAGACAGACTTGTATTGCATAGAGTATAATTGCCTACTATTACAAACCATGTTTTACAAAAAAAATTGCATATATGTAGCATGCAGGTAGCCAAGCAATTTGGTCAGCAGTTATAAGGGCAAAAATGTACTGCCTTTAAAGAACTGATTATTTATCTGACCACTTGACTTCACTGCCACATATCAAACATTGATTGTTTGCCTAATTGGGCAGTATTGCTTGGCTAGCTGCATGCTATGCTTTAATTCTTGAGCATTTCATCTGCTCTTGTTGCATGTTGTCTGTGCATTGTGCTGCTATTATAATTTGATCTTGCATTATTATGTAAATGGTACATTTAGATCTACCTGCAATTTTTATGTAGAACATGATTTGTCATAGCAAGCAGTTATAAATCCATTATGTTAGCTCTTTATTGGTGCGAATACACTTTTACAGGTCTATGACAAACATATTTCTTCAGATTATGGAGGTTTACGGTGGAATCTAATTCAATATTGCTGATTATATTTATACAGGTTGTATCTTTTTTCATGGTTTTTACCTTGAGTAAACTTTGAATTTGCAGTTTTGAGTTACAGGACTACACCAACTATGGTGAGTGAGCACTCTCTCTAGTTAAAATGGTTCTAAAGACAAAAGTTTTTTTTACCTTCATGCATTGAATGCATGAAGGTAAACAACCTTCTGTGTGCTGCTTCCCCAGCAGCCCCCTTAATAGTCACCTGAGCCCCCTCTTGATCCAGCGATTTGCAGGAGAGCCTTAGTTGTTCCTGGACTCTGAACTCTCTCCCCTCACTCACAGTTAGTGAGCCAAAAAGAAGAGAGCGGTGTGGGGCAGGGCTAGCCACAGCTCTGTGTCTTATGGATGCATAGAGCTGGGCTCGGGAGCGAGCGAGCACGTACCAGTACACAGTGCATGCTTAGCAAGCAACTTGCTATTGATTGCACTGGTCAAGGGGGAGGGGCCAGAAGCACCAGTGGGGGACCCAAAAAGAAGAGGATCAGGACTGCTCTGTGCAAA